AAACTAAAAAGCTTCTGCTCAGCAAAAGAAACCGTCAACAAGGTAAAGAGACAACCTTCCGAATGGGAAAATATATTTGCAAGCAACACCTCTGATAAGGGCCTAAAATCCAAAATATACAAAGAATTCATACGACTCAATAACAACAAAAAAAGAAACAATCCAATCAAAAAATGGGCGAGGATCTGAACAGACACTTCTCCCTAGAGGACATACAAATGGCCAACAAATATATGAAAAGATGCTCAACGTCGCTAGCTATTAGGGAAATGCAAATCAAAACCACAATAAGATACCATCTCACACCTGTTAGAATAGCTATAATCAACGGTACAAGTAATAACAAATGTTGGAGAGAATGTGGAGAAAAAGGAACTCTTATACACTAGTTACAGTCGCCAAGATGGGGACGCAACCTAAATATTCTTAGGAAGACAGATAGATAAAGAAGCGGTGGTAAACGGTATACGTATATGCAATGGAATATTACTCAGCCATAAGAGGAGACGAAATACTGCCATGTGCGACGACATGGATGGACCTCCAGATAAACATGCCAAGCGAAATAAGCCAGACAGAAAACGTTGAAAATCACACGATATCACTTATATGTGAGATATAGACCTAAAAACAACAAATGAACAGGACAAACAAACAGAGACTCATGGACATAGACAATAAACTAATGGTTACCAGAGGGTAGGGGAGGAGGGGGGAGGAGGAAGGTAGTTGGGGTAAAAGGGGTCAAATATGTGGTGACAGAAGGAAATCTAACTATGGGAGGGGAACACTATGCAATATATATATGCCTTACTGCTAAATTGTACACCTGAAACTTACTGGATTTTGTTAACCAATGTCATTAAAAAAAATATATGTATGTATATATACATACATATATATGGTCCCGTTGTGTGGTCCCGTTGGGCACCCATATATATGTATGTGTATATAAAGTGCTAATATTTAGAGCCAAGGGCCTAAAAATACACATACATACATATATATATACAGACATACATATATATATATATTTCTCTTTCACTCAACATGTTTTCAAGGTTCCCGCACGTTGTAGCATGTATCAGTTCTTTGTTCTATTGCTGGTTAATACTCTGTTGTATGAATATACCAAATTTTACTTAGCCACTCATCAGTGGATGAACATGGGTTGTTTCTACATACATATATATATACAGACATACATATATATATATATATTTCTTTCACTCAACATGTTTTCAAGGTTCCCGCACGTTGTAGCATGTATCAGTTCTTTGTTCTATTGCTGGTTAATACTCTGTTGTATGAATATACCAAATTTTACTTAGCCACTCATCAGTGGATGAACATGTGGGTTGTTTCCAACTTTTGGCTATTATGATTTATTAGTATACAAGTGGACATATGTGTTATTTCTCTTGGGTATATACCTTGGAGTGGAATTGCTATGTTAAATAGTAACTCTATGTTTAATTTTTGGGGGGAAACCACCAGACTGTTTTTCAAAGTGGCCATACCATTTTACATTCCCCCCAGTAGTTCCTAAGGGTTCCATTTCTCCACTTTCCCCTAACATTTATTATTGTCTATCTTTTTATTTTAGCCATCCCAGTAGAGGTGAAATGATATCTCATTGGGGTTCTGATTTGACTTTGACTTGAAAATGAAATCCAAGTTTCTGGTTTAGATGTCTGGGTGAACGGAAGTACCATTGGCTGTTTCACATTGGATATACAGGAAGAGACTTAGTGGCAAGACAGTGAATTGCATTTTGAACAAGTTGATATTGAGGTGCCAATGGGATATTCAAATGGAGTTGTAACTGAATGGTTAAGCAAGCATTGGACTCAAGAGAAAGGGCTGGTTGGGTAGTCAGGGAAGTCCTAAGGTGGAAATGGAACCCCTCAGGGAGAATGTGTAGTAGGAGAAGAGGCCCAAGTCCAGAACCCTGGGGACATTAACTTTTAGGGCAAACTAGTGTAGTGTTTAAGAACACAGGCTTTGGAGCCAGACCGCCTGTTATTTGCATGGTGACTTACAGCAAGTTATTTTACTTCAGTTTCCACGTTTGTAAAATGAGCATAAGAATAGCACAGTTAGAACAGTGCTTTCTTTTTTCAGTTTCATTAAGAGATCTGTAAATAAAGAACTGCCCAAGAAGGTGAAGAAACGGTATCATGAGATAGAGGGAACTCAGATTCAATGAGAAAAGAAAATTTCAAAGAGATCTACCATGTCAAATTCTGCCAACAGTACTGTAAGATAAGGTCTGTAAAGTGTCCATCTTTATTAATTAGTGGCCTCACCAAGTGCAATTTCTTAGTAATTAGTGGCCTCACCAAGTGCAATTTCTAGGGAATGAAATGAGCCAGTCTGTAAAGGGTTGAAGAGTGAATAAGGGTTGACACTGATATATCCTTCCTTCTCTCACTATGCCTGTCACTCCCATTAGATGCTTTCTTTTAAGGACAGTTATGGAGCCTATTCCACTTTTTCCAATCAATTTCAGCCACCAATGGGATAATATGTTGCACCAGGTTACCTTTAACTCCTCCACATTTGTGCCTTGCACGCCGTAGGCGATCGAAATAACTTGAAGATAAAGGTACTTCTACAGACTCTCTCTCGGGTATTATTTGGGGTAGACCGCTCAGCACCATGCCCAGGTCGATTCCCTCCATGGCCGCTTTGAGGAGTGTCATTCTCATCAAGTCCACAAGGTGGTGTCCGTTTTCTCCTCTCGGACCCCAGGTCACGACCCCGGAAGCACATCCTCCACCCAGTGCTGAGCAGCGATGGCGGCGGCCGCGGCTGCTGGTTCGTTGCTGTTGCCCGCGGTGCGGCGGCGGCTCTGGGGTTTCACCGAGAAGTTCTTGGTTGGAGGCGCCGCCAGACGGGTGAGCTTTCTTCCCCTTACCTGGGTGCCCATCGGGACCAGGCCAGGCCTCTCCCGCGCAGCCTTGCGCTGCGGACTTAGTCACGGGCATGGGGTCTAGCCGCTGGCGTCGGCGCCTCACACCCCCACCGACGGGTCGGGCCAAACCGCCTCGACGGGGACCCACGGGGCACCTGGCGACCTGGGACGCTTAACTTCTGCCGGGGCTGGGCATGCTTTAGTCACCCGCTGCGCATGACTTGCCAGTGACGTGTGGGATGACCTTGGTTACCTCTCCCCACAGTTACTGAGAAGTCATGGAGACTGCGGATTGATTACTGAAAACACAGTGTTTGCAAATTGGGGGTGGGGTGGGAATTAAAGAGTGAGATGGTTACTGTTTTTGCCTGACTGAACTTCTTTACCCTCAGGTGGGCATCCTGCAAACCCCAGGGTAGCTAAAGGGAAATTTTGTTTGTACATGCATTTTTCTCATAAGAGCCCCTAGTTTTCTTCAGGGTATTTGGTACTTTAATATACGTATAAAGGAAAAGAAAAACTGCGAACAGGCAAATAGTCCATAGTCAGCAAGTCAATCAGCCAGAGTATATCTGCCCTACTTCTTCTCTTTTTCTACCTTTTCCAAAACTTGTCGCTTTTCTCGACCATTGAACACACCGATCTAATTTTTTCTCCTTCTTGGCTTCCCTGCTCATTCCCTTTATAATGAATATTAGACATTTCTAGGAGAGATATTGAAATAAAAGCAGTTTTTCTCTGGATAATGGTAACAACTGCTCCTTTAAGGGAGCAGCGCGTTTGTAGGTGTGTTTCTGGCTTTAGGAGGTTGTGTGGTTCCTAGGCTGGGCAAAGGGATGGATCCCAGTGCAACAAATGTTGAGGAGGAAGGAGTACTTATAGAATGTCTTTGAGATAGATTTGGTTTTTTAACCAACATTTATTATCTGGATAATGATGTGTTTTTCTTCCTCCCTCCACCCCCATTCAGTCATTATATTTTGGAGGGAACAAATTGAGAAGTACACAGGCTGCTACACAAGTTGTTCTGAATGTTCCTGAAACACGTGTAACACGTTTGGAAAATGGCCTCAGAGTGGCCTCTGAAGATTCTGGGCTCTCAACATGCACAGTAAGTGATTCAGGCAACCACTGCTTGATTGACTTCTCATGAGAGAGAGCAAAATGTTGGTTTTACTCTAAGCTTTTTAGTTGGCAGGTGGTTGAAAAATGGTGGCAGTTATTTTGCCTTGACAGGTGATTTTCACTTGTGAATCAGTGGTACTTCTGTACGGGGTACCCTTCTTAAATGTCTACATCTGGTTCTTATAACCTATTATTGTGTTATTTCTTGTTAGTAGTGTTCATAGTAATGAAGTAATGAAAGAGGTGTATTTGCTGGGCTACTCTGTGCCAGCTGTTTTTACATATATTGTCTTATTTGATTTTTAAAACAGTTCTTTCTAGGAGGCATCATCACACCCATTTTACAGTTGAGGAACAAGTTCAGAGAAGTTAAATAGTTCTGTCCAAAGTCACTCAGCTAATACATAACAGAGCCAGGATTTGAACCTAGATTTTTTGACAACCTCTCATGTTCTTTATACTATAGTTGTTAATGGCTGTAGTACAAGTTGGACTGAAAATCTAGGTCTTCAGTGAAGCTGGCAAGTAGATATTTGTAGCATCCAACAGAGCCTGATGACCAACATTTTTAAATCTCATAGTTCATAGGAATATACCGTCAATCATTCAAGTCAAGAAAACCTTAGTGTTGAGATTAGAAAGCATTTGTCAGAAAAAGGAAGGAGCCTGCCCTCTCCCCCCACTACCATTCCCCCAAAAGAAAGAAAATTATGCTTTACTTAATTGTTCCTTGGTCGCATTAAGGTTGGGCTCTGGATCGATGCTGGAAGTCGATATGAAAATGAGAAGAATAATGGAACAGCTCACTTTCTGGAGCATATGGCTTTCAAGGCAAGTTGTAAGACTTATTTTATAAAAATGCATTTTTTCAAGAGACAGTAAGCACAAAATCTCATGCTGAGGCAAGGAGAACTATTTCAATAGCATGTTTTATTTTTGTTATTTAAAAAGTTTTTCCAATTGTGGTGCTTTTCTTTCGGGCACATTTGTTAAGATTTCAAATGAGCCTGACTCTGCCACATATATAGGAGCTGGCAAAAGTTCGATGACAAAGGAATCTCTCTGTAACCTTTCTTACATCAAAGGTAGGCTCCACATGTGGCAGGCTACCTCATAAGTTTAAGCCCTTACAGACAGACTGACAGAGACCTGTCTGGTCTGAGGAGAATCTCTTCTGAGGGGTGTTTCTCCACCCCTGTGATGGACTAGCAAAAAAAAAAAAATTCCAGATTATCTGAAATAATTACTGATAATTGGTCTGTAGAGTTGAAACAAGGATGTTCTCTTGTGATATAGGGTCATGTGAAAGTACCATGATTTCTAAGCCTGATGTATTTTAGAAACCAAATTTAATACTTGCATGAAACTGACCTAGGTTTATGGCTTCTTACTCCTCAAAGTGTTTAGAACAGATGTGGGATAAAGGAAAGTATCATAATTTTTTTCCTCTTTTATTTCAGGGCACCAAAAAAAGATCCCAGTTAGATCTGGAACTTGAGATTGAAAACATGGGTGCTCATCTCAATGCTTATACCTCCAGAGAGCAAACTGTATATTATGCCAAAGCATTCTCTAAAGATTTGCCAAGAGGTATTGTTGTTATTTATACTGCAGATATATAATTTTCACAAGAGTTAAATAGTTTAATACTGTTTTATTATGTCTGTTGTGAAAGGGTATCCCTAGAAATATGAAAAAAAATGAACCAAATTGGGTGAGGGGCATCTATATTTTTTCTCCCAAAATGATAAATGATATCAAATATTTATGGGCTGCAAGACTTATGCAAACCAGGCCCTAACGCTTCGTTCAAAAATACTTCCTCCAGAGCCATACCTGTATAGTGAAACATTTTTAATTGTTTGTATTCATTTATTACTGCTTACTGTTTTTTTCCCCTCCTCACTTTACCCTGTTATCCGAATTTTTTTATTTCTATAAACTTGAAGAGATTTTATATCTACTGACTACTGGCTTTGTTTTTTGAACAAAACCTACTTACTTTTTAATTGTATTTGCACATTCTAGTTCCTCATCCTGGAGTGCGTTTCTTATTTTCCTTTCCATTAATTTTTTTCATTTTATTTAAACTGAAAATAAAAATAGGTCACCCATTTCTCCCACCTCCTTCACCTCTGGCAACCACCAATCCGTTCTTTGTATCTATGAGCTTAAGTTTTTATTTTTGTTTTTGTTTTTTTTGGGGGGGGGATTTCATGTATAAGAGGAATCATATGATATTTGTTTTTTTCTGACATATTTCACTTAGCATAATGCCCTTGGGGTTCATCCATGTTGTTGCAAATGGCAATATTTCCTTCTTTTTTATGGCTTAATAACATTCTATTGAATATATACAGTACACCACAATTTTTTCATTAATTCATTCATTCATTGACACTTCGGTTGTTTCTATATCTTGGCTATTGTAAATAATGCTGCAATGAACATAGGGATGCATATGTCTTTTCAAATTAGTGTTTTGGATTTCTCGGAATTGCTGGATCATATGATAGTTCTATTTTTAATATTTATAAGAACCTCCATACTATTTTCCATAGTGGCTGCACCAATTTACATTCACACCAGCAGTGTTCTCTCTTTTCCATATCCTCACCAACAAGTGTTCTCTCTTTTCCATATCCTCACCAACACTTACTATTTCTTGTCTTTGTGATAGTAGCTATTCTAACAGGTGCAAGGTAACATCATTGTGGTTTTGATTTGTATTTCCCTGATAATTAGTGGTGCTGAGCACCTTTTCATGTATACCTGTTGGCCACCTGTATGTTTTTGGGAAAATGTCTATCAGATCTTCAGTCCAGTTTTTAATTAGGTTGATTTCTTTGTATTTTTTGCGTATTAGCCCCTTAACAGATATATGACTTACTGACATTTTCTCTCATTCAGTAGGTTGCCTTTTGTTGATGATTTCCTTTTTTGTGCGGAAGTTTAGTTTGAGGTGGTCCTACTTGTTTGTTTTTGGTTTTGTTGCTTTTGGTGTCAGATTCAAAAAATCATCGCCAAGACTTATATCTAGCTTACTGCCTGTTTACTTCTAGAAGTTCTGTGGTTTCAGGTGTTATGTTTAAGTCTTTAGTTCATTTTTAGTTGATTTTTATATACAGTGTAAAGCGGTCTAGTTTCATTCTTTTGCATGTGGCTGTCCAATTTTCCCAGCATCATTTAATGACGAGACTATCCAGTCTCCATTGTTTATTCTTGGCTTGACCATATAAGTGTGGGTTTATTTCTGGACCCTCTATTTTGTTCCATTGATGTGTGTTTTTATGCCAGTACCAAACTTTTATTTTTATTTTTTTCCAAACTTTTAATTATTATAGCTTTGCAATATAATTCGAAATCAGGAAGCATGATGCTTTCAGCTGTTTTCATTTCTCAAGATTGCTTTGGCTATTCAGGATCTTTTGTGGTTCCATACAGATTTTAAGATCAAATGTTATATTTCTGTGAAAAATGCCATTGAAATTTTGATAGGGTTTGCATTGAATCTGTATAGTGCTTTAGGTAGTACAGATATTTTAATAATATTAATCTAGTCCATGAGCACAGAAAATCTTTCCATTTGTGTCTTCAATTTTCTTTCATTGATGCCTTACAGTTTTCAGTGTACTGGTCTTTCACTTCCTTAGTTAGATTTATTCCTAGGTATTTAATTATTTTCATGTAGTTGTAAATGAGATTGTTTTCTTAATTCTCTTATAAGTTCATTATTAATGTATAGAAATCTAACAGATTTTTGAGTATTGATTTTGTATCCTGCAGCTTTACTGAATTTATTATTAGAGTCTTTAGAGTTTTTTATATAAAGTATGTCATCCCTAAATAGTAACAGTTTTACTATTCCTTTCTAATTTGGATGTCTTTTATTTCTTGTTCTAAAACAAGAAAATAGATTTTATTTTGTAGAAATAAAATAATCATTCTGACACCATAACAGAGCAGTTTGTTGTATTTACCATGTTTGTAGAGTGCTTTAATTTCTTAAAGTTATCACACAAAACATTTTCTCAGTAGTAGAATTAATAAGCAGAAGTTCCTAGTTTTAGTGCTAACTGATGAAATTATAACTCTTTAAGGTCTTGGTTTAGTTGTAGGTAATTTCATTACTTTGGAATATGGATTCCTAATAGTTTTTCATTAATAATGTTTGAGACTTTACACAAGTAGTTTTGTGTATTATATTTTGTATATATTATCTACTTACTGAGAAAGTTTTTGCCCATAGGATTATTTAGAGACTAAGAACAAAGGGCTAGGCCAGGCTGCTTTAAGGGTTGTTCAGTTGAGTCTGTCCCTCTACTTTTTTACACAGAGAACAGGAGGGAAAGCGAAAAAGGTGACTAAAAGGAAGAGAGAAGGCAGTGGACTTCTTTTTTTACCCTCCTGGCTTCTGGCTGGGAAGGACAGCTCCTGCTAGTGGGAGTGGAAAAGCAGAGAGGAATTCAAAGTGGAAGTGCTCTCTGAAGCAGCTCCCTCTTGGGGATTTGCTTGAGGTTTTTATCCCCTTAGTCGGGTAAAGTCTAATGTAATGTATGATGTTTAGACTAGTAGTCTCCAAACTTTTATGATCACCCATCATTATCAGTAAGATTTGATCATATGTTCCCAACATAGGTGTATTTATAAATTAAATGCAGGTACTGCTTTGCTAACATGATATTAAATATATGTTAAAAAGAAATAATATTAAATCATAATAACTAGGAATTATGAGTTTCCCACCTTGGCAAGTACCAGTCTAGACTACCAGTCCCGTATAAAGGAGGGTCTTCACACAGAATTACTTGTCCTGTCTGTCTTCAGGTTCTTCACCCATCTTAGCCTCTCGTTCTCTTGTCTGGAAAGATGGATTTTATTTGGTTTTACAGAGAATTATTTCTCTTTGGTCACGATCTCATTCCAGCTTACTTTAGTAATATGTTTTGTCTTTTGGGGCAGTCTACAGAGGTAATTAATTACAGAAAATCCTTGGTATTTGAACATAATACGTCTGAGACAGGTCTCTTGAGGTGAATTTGACAAAAGTTTACAGTAGAGTGAAAAAATGAAATTAAATGTTATGATTGTTTTATAGTTACTAAAATTTAGACTGTGATTGTAACTGTGTACTCGATATTCAAGAGTAGATAAGGGTTTTTTTTGAAGAGGTATATAATTTTTCTGATAAAATTGCTTAACAGCATGATATGATATCCTTCCATTTGTTTTTGGCTCTTTGCAAATTAGTGTCATTTTTATATAAATATTTGAGGATTTCATCAGTTTTCCCCAAGGGTGACTTTTAATCCTTTGGTAGTCATATGTATCTCTTGGGGTACCTGTCCTTTTCTTCATATGTTAACTGCTCCATTTCCATTAGATCATCATTTATCAGTGACTTTGGTGATAAGAATTTAGCCAACATTGACCAGATGGGGATTAAGTAAGGAAGGATATTGTTAAGACACTAATTCCATTAGTGGTTCACTGGGGACATATTTTAGATTATGATGATTCTTGGCTTCTTTATGTAGCAGCCTCATTGCTGTGGGAATTGAATAGTGAGTACTTGGGTGATATGGACTCTTTGTACATACTGAGATATTCTAATTTTCTACTTTGTAATTTTTATACAATTTACACATGTGCAGATTTCTATGGCATTTTTGAAGTGGTTGTAGGTAGAGTCATTAAATGTGAGGCCTCTGGCAGATTTAGGAATTTTCCCCAAGTTCTTCTCTATCACAGGGTTTATATTTTACATTTTTAATTTTAATATTGTCATTTTAGGTATATCGAATATATAGAAAAAATGGTTTCTTCCCAGTTTAACTATTTAGTCAATATTGAGTGATGGTCAGTATCATGGTTTCTGATACTAGTTTACTAGATTTTAATAGTGAAAATTAAGATTCTTCGTGTTTCTTATGTTTTATTTTCAATTAGCTGTAGAAATTCTTGCTGATATAATACAGAACAGCACATTGGGGGAAGCAGAGATTGAACGTGAACGTGGAGTAATCCTTAGAGAGATGCAGGAAGTTGAAACCAATTTACAAGAAGTTGTTTTTGATTATCTTCATGCCACAGCTTATCA